TTACCCATTATTTTGCACTGGGCTCACCGGTACGAACGAATGTCAAGCAGCGAAACCTTTGGCCGGTGCTTCAATCGATTCTTTTCGTTCGTACTGTTGAAACTTCGGATTCACTGAGCGACCGAACCGAATGATGTTGGGTTTGCGATCGGACATTTCGAACGGGTCCGGTTTACCGCTCTTTCCAAAACGTATGAAATTCGGTCTTCGGTCGTCCTCAGAGTTGCGGGTCAATCTGAAGAACTGCTCAGGTTGGTGCGTATCGCGGCTTCTTCCAAAGCGAAGGAAATTTGGCCTCGTTTCACTCCATGGATCTAAACGACATCCGTTTAACCACACTGCTATACCTAGGTGTCGCTTACCTGCCCTTCCAAAACGAATGAAATTCGGTTTCCTCATTAATCTCTCAAAAATCGGGTCTAAAATAAGAAAATGAAAAGATTCAAGTTCGTTAATAAACTGGTGCAACTGAACAGAGCAATCAATGTTTTGCACGTTTGAATATGCGTGTCATCATCAGTTCACTAGTGGATGAAATGCGGTGTTGATGGTACAGCATTGAGCATGTCTTTCTTCTCTTCGAAGAAAGGTATTATGAGTTAGTCTGAGGAAATTGGCACTCAATATTTTGGTTTCAAGTTCATTTAAGCAAAAGTTAACAGTTTCTGTTAACTCAGAAGAAAATTCTCAATTCAGGGTGACAGAAAAAGTGCATAAATGAAATAATAAATTAACCAGAGTGGAAATAGCACATCAGTAACCTTCTACTTCGCTAAGAGAAGATGGACGGGTAATGTGGCCCGCTGAAGAGACAACTGGTGGCCATCAAGAATTACAAATTGACTTCAGTTGGGATACCAGCGTCCACCCGGTAGTCTGAAAACGCGCCGTGACGAAATGATGGTTGAGCCGCTAGGTCAGCGCTGGAAACAGGAAAAGGAATACGGAGAATACTCACGTTTCACCCATGTACGATGCACCTCAGACGACAGATGAAACAGACAAACAAAACTATAAAGTCAGAGCAGCGTAATTACATGGCACTCGGGTCATAATCTATTGAATATCCAACTCTTCCTTTCTGGATCACATACTTCAACTTCATCAGAAACACAGAGCATCAGAAAATGATTCATAACAGCAGATGAGGTTGAAAATGATACGCGTCGACTGACCCCTGAGGAAGCTTGACCTGTGACCTC